GTCTCCGTTTTTAGTGGGATTAAAAATAACTCCAGGCCCAGTCAGACAGACTCCGGTTTACCATTTATGACTCACTTGCTTCGGTTTTGTTGTGTGAGGTTTTTCTGAAGAAACAGCCACATTTTGAAAGAATATTTTCAGAAAGGATTTTCTTTTTCTTTTGTTGGGGTAGAGCAGAAGTGGGAAGGGTGAGCAAGAGGGCAGAGAAGAAATCAGGAACTTCCCTTCACGTTATTTTCAGAGGAATTAAAATCCTTTAGTCTCTAAATGCTTTTTTTAAAAAAAAAATCTGTGGAAGTGGGAAGCAGACAGTCCTCTACGTCACGTCACGAGTCTGTGGTCATTTCACTGGGAGGCGGCCCCTGGCGACTCGCCGTCCACGCCGGATTGGTGGGGCTGTCTCTGGCACTCTTGAGAAGGTTGGGCTCCTCAAGAGCTCAAGTACCTTGAATGAAATCATTAAACACTTCATTATATTTTTCTTAAAGGCCATAAAACCCTGAAGAAATACCCACTGCAAGAGAAATGGTAGCAAAAATAATTCTTCCATCCAAACTAGTTCGCAAATGGCAAATCACTGGGTTGGCAAGTGTTATGTACTCTACTATTTTCTGGAAGGAGAAGGCATCCTAAATGCAGGGATAGCTTTATTTATTGCGACAGTGGTGTTAGAGGCAAAGCCAGGATTACATGTGCATTTCATTTTCTGGTGCAAAGGACATTTCGATTAATTAAAATGTCAAAACCTCCAGTAGGAGGACTGATTTTGCAGGCTGATTTTCTCGGCTGACTTTTGGGGTGAGCTAGGTATGAGTGATAACTGCAGTGAGGCAGTGTAGCTGGGACGCGCCCCATGTCCCTCAGCTGTGTGGGGTGGAAGCAGGGCTGTGAAGCCAGCCCTGGTGGATGAAGTACATAGGTGACCCTCTTGCCCTCTGCTCATAGCAAACATCCTTTTCTAATCTGGAAGGCTCTGTTTACCCAGCGTGCCCCGAGACAGAATAATACGATCCCTGCTCTGATGAAAATGGTTTCTGAGGACAGTAGACCTTCATCATCAGCTTATGCTCTTCCCTTTATTAACACTATTGAGTGAGTATCTGATATGACATAAACTTCGCTGGGCTTGGTAAAAAGTTAAAACCAGTGTGTTCGCATCTTATAAAAATGTATGCAAATTTTTAAGTGAATATTTTCAAAAGTCTAATTTTATGCACAGAATTTAAAATAATGCAAATCACCCCAAATTTTAGAAGTCTGTCAAGAGTCACATAATTTCCAAGCTGGCAGGCCAAGCGTGTTTTAGCATCTGGCGTGGTGGCCGCACTTGAGCACCAGTTTTCCTGGGAAGCAGATGTCCAGCCGGCTCGGGCAGGCTTCCTCACTCGTCTCCTTCCACTAGGACTTCTGCAGGTGATTTCGGTGAACACTGCACTCTCAGTCCGGGACACCTGGGTGGGAAATCTGAACATGGCCCTGAAGATCTTGAATGCCAGTCTGGATTTCAGCTTTCATAGGTTTTAGGCACATCTAGCCGCTCTGGCTTTGGAAATTTTAAATGTCCCCATATTTGCTGTTCTTACAACTTAAAATAACTTGTATCAGTCATGTGATATCTGAAATGTATTGAACACTTCTTACGTACCAGGAGATGGCCTAATAACAATGAGGTGTGAGTACTAGTATTAAATATTACCCCGTTGTAGAAATGAAAAACCTTGATGCACCGAAGTTAAGTATCTCGTCCCATGTCACTCAGCTCGTATGTGGGGTCCCATGCCACAGTGCCTCTGAGGCAAGCTCATCCAACCATTTTTTCAGCTAGACCTGAATATCCCACCCCAAAATTATCAACTGGGGAAGAAACTAGACCTGGTAAAGGGTACAGAGAAGGCAAAACAGCCACGTGAAACGCTCCCCAGAGTACATTCCTTCTCTCTTGTTACTATTGGAAAATTAGTCTTGCATTGTGTTAATTTAGAATTATGAAACTTCTCTTTACAAAACATCAATCCTGACCTCAAGAAGTTTGTATATCGAGTTTAGGGTCGATCCTGCCAATGAGTGACCACACCACCCTGGGGACCTTGCTAAGCTCTTTACAAAGCACGTTCTCCTTCTCCCCTGCACCAGTCTGCACAGCAGATTTTGTTGGCCCAGCCGTGTCTCAGGGTTACTACAAACCTTCTACTTAGAACTCCCTTCTCAACGGAACTCATGCCTTTTTGAGTTGTAAAATACTCAACTTTCAAAGTTTCCGTCTCAGATGGATACAGATGGTACAGTAAAACTGATAACAGTTAAAAAAAAAAAGTTATCTGTATTGAAATAGTTGGTTCTAGCAAGCCTTCCCCAGAACTTGAGGTTGCAGGTAAACAGACACCAGCCTGTATACCCAGTAGAAACTCTGAACCCCAGGTAGGGGGTCTACAGCCCAGCAAGTATTAATAGTTGCAGCTCTTTCCCCATCTCCAATGGGAGGACTCCCTTTAGCACAGAAAGCCCATTCCATACAGCTCTCACGGGCTTCCTAATTAAGTTGTGGTCAGGCTTCAGGAAATCTAAATGTCACTTGTCCTCAAACAAATAGTTGGATGTAATGGAGACACAACAGTTAACCATATTCTAAAGCCACCGATAATACAAAGCCAGCCTGAGTTCAAATGCACAGCGTAAAGCTAGAGCTCCATTGCTTTCATTGTGACCTAAAGACCATCGAGGGCCGATGTGCCATGTCCAGATGCAGAACCGGCCTGGACAGTGACAAGCAGTGGCTGGGGGAGTCCCAGGACCGCGCAGCTGCTGGCAGCCACACATTAGGTGTCTTCCCAAGAGCATTCCCCAGCACCCAAGGCAGACAATTCACTTCCAAAATGATGGTGTGGAAAACTTTCTTGCTTAGGAGTGACAGGTTTATTTTTACATTTTTAATGCCTTCAGCCTTTATCTGTGAGTCGCAAGAATCTGATCACCATCACCTGCCATCTTTGTGCTTCCAAACCATAAGATTCTTCAATGAGGTCTTTTCAGAGTCCTATATATTTTGAAAACTACGTGATTAATTTACTCAGGGCATGAATTTCAGATACATGTATGTTGGGTGTTTTTAAGTTCATGCTATTTCAGCAAAAACAACTGATTGAGTGACGCAGTAATTCTTTTCCAGAATAAAGCTAGGCTTTGGCTCAGGTCTTAATCCCTAAGAGTACATGGCTTTAACTCTTGGTTTCCCAGGAAAGCCCTCAGTCGTTCCTGCATCTCTGTAACTGCACACTGCCCCTGTGACGCTTCTGCCCTAAGTTTCAAGGGCTTATTTTGTACATGCTCCTTGTCCAACCTGACAGCTTCATTATAGAGCATTCACATTTGTCAACATACTGGCTTTTCAAAGACAATGTGAAGTTTCCTTTCAGAACCTGCAGCCTTATATACCGTTGGCTGAACTACACGGAGAGAGATAACCTATTTACATACTGAAAAGGTCAGTGTTGGACAGTCAGCAGTTAGAGATGAATTTGCTGCTGCTTGCAACTGGAGCATGAGAATTGGGGAGAAGCTGGCAATTTTGCTGTCTCTTTATCTGTGTAGACAGCCAGCATTGGTAAATATGAAGATGTCTGTTCCGATCCACGAGAGTGGTATTGCCGAGAAGCCGGGTGATGGACAAGCTCACTCATAGTTTAGAACCTTTCTGGTTACTAACAGGTATGTGGCTACGTGATGACCAAGGTCAGCCTCACCTACTAAAAACTGTAGCTAATTTGAGGTGGAAATATTTGCGTAATACCTTTTCAGACGCTGTTAGTAAATAAAATACAAATCCTCATAAATTATGTGGCTACTGCTTAACCTTCCATTTGCATTACAAAAGGTAGATTTTTAGGGGCTTTAAAACATTTTCATTTTGTGATCTTTTCAAATTCTCTTTAAATATCAGCAGTTTTATTTTGTTAATATGTGTTGAAAGTATCTTAAAAGGTGTTATTATGAAGGCATTGGTTTTCTCTGAAATCTCTATGTTTTTGCTCCTCATCCATTTGTAGATTTAAAGCAAAATAATTATGGAGTTGAGATCCATGCCTCCATTTTAAATGTTGGGACATAACATACGAGTAAAGTCACAGCTGAAGGTAGAAAACGGGCACAGAAGGGAGGCTAAATGCACTGAGGTCCGAGTGAAGTCGTACTCCTTGGTTACAGCAGCCAATCTTGAGCAAACAGCCCTTGTCCTTTGTACCTTAAAACCATGGTACAGTCACAGTTTCTGCTCAGAAAAGACAGCAGCCCGTTGAAGACTGCCTGTGTCAGCGAGGTTATGTCTCGGCACGGCGGCTTTCCCAAAGTCCCTGGCGGCCACACGATTTCACCCAGGTGAGGTCCTGGTATACTGCTGGGGGTCTGTGGCAGCAGCTGATGGCAGCCACGTCCTCGTGGGGACCCTGTGCAGCCAAACATGTTCCGTGTCACCCAGGGGATTTATGAAGCCAGATGTGGACCTGGGCTCGCTCTGTCTTGAGAGCCGTGTGAGGCAGCTTCTAGGGAGACGTTGTCGTTTGCATACGTGCACTTCCCAGGTGGTTCCGTGCCAGCCTCCTTAACAGGCACATTCCGCATGATTCTTTCGTTCCTCTGACTCCTGTTTTAAGGAGAGAGAAGCCAGTGGCACTGACGAGCTAGCCCTTCGCTGGCCGCCATTGAGGTTATTTGAACTTGGCTGGCACGCAGCCACAGTCTTCTGAGCTACGGTGGCAGCTGTCTTATGACCACTGTCCTAAAGCAGACTGGCGGCGTGGGCTGTGCCCGGGGACTCCTGGCGATGATCCTCCAGGACCAGAAGACTGGGCCGCAGCCCACCTGCCCGGGCCGTGGTGGATGCTCGCGTGCCCCAGCCTCACCCCCGCCTCTCTTGCAGAGTTCCCCGCCCCAGCCCCAGCCTCACCCCCGCCTCTCTTGCAGAGTTCCCCGCCCCAGCCCCAGCCTCACCCCTGCCTCTCTTGCAGAGTTCCCCGCCGGGCAGACGCAGCAGGCACTTCACCAGTCGGTCTTCATGTCAGCCGTGGCCGCCCACCCTTTCCGGGACCTTCCCCTCGGCAGGGAGCAGCACTGCAAGCTGCTGCCAGGTGTGGCTGACATCCAGGCGAGCCAGGTGGCCGGGTGGACGGTGGATGAGGTGAGCCGGGCTGCCGGGGCCCTGGGCTGGGACTCGCCCTGCTGCTGAGGTGCGGGCAGCAGGTGATGACCTTCAGTTCTCTAAGGCCTGGGAGAGAGCCCTTTTCCTCCTGCGCTCTGCACCCGCTGTGTACAGTTGACATCCAAACTGGAGGGAGAAGCCAGCCGTGATTTTGAGGAAGTGAGGAAAACCCATCGCCTCCTCTGCCCAGCCTTATTCCAGCAGTGGCCTGTGCCCCGCGGCCGCCGTCCGCCCCGGCTAACCGAAGCACAGGGCTTAGCCCTCGCCAGTCGCCCTGCGGTGCCCCGGGGGGTCCCTGTGTTCTCCAGGCAGAGCAGGTCCCAAGATGATCGGGCCAACCTTAGGTTTATTTTTAAAGTATTAATACCTTTGGTCTCAACATTGTGTAAGAAGCTTTTCAGAGGGAAAAGGTTGGCTCCGATTTTAACGTAAACATGCCTTACAGTATTGGTTTTTAGTAAGGATCAGTTAAGACCCATTGCTTAGTATAAAGCTTTAGAAATTCTTCATATTTAAAGCAGTTTTCTTTTAAGGAATGCACCATTTAACTGCAATTTCTTTTGATAAAGGTATTGTTTTCACTAGTCAGTCTTTAGATAAATTGTTTTCTAAGTGAAGGAAAACCCTGGGTCACTGTGAGGACAAGATTAGAGCTGAGTTAAATTAGTCACAAATGTTCACAGAGCACTTACTGCAATCAACTTAATCTTGGCGTAAGCCTGCCTTGCCAGCTTTGGGCCGAGGAACAGCAGGTGGGGCTGAAGCTGGCAGACATCGGAGCGCGGAGCTGGCCCTGAGTCCCTGCCCTCCCCACGGTGCCTCCCACGGTCTACGGGCAAATTCGCCCGCGCCCAGCCTGGCGGGAGCAGAGCAGGCCGCGCTGTCCCCTGGCCTGTCCCGCTGCTGCTTCCCAAGGCCCACGTGGTCCTGGCAGTGGAGCGCTGACTGCATGTGCCGGGCGTGGCCCAGTGTTGGCCAACGACTAGAATGTGATCCTGCCCCTCCAACAGTGCCCAGAGTCTTCCCTCCTTTATGAATTTTCACAAGTTTGCAGAGTGTGCCTCAGCCTCATGACCATGCAACTGAATTAAAACCTATTGTGTCCGTAACCAAATCCTGTACGCTTTTGCCCTTGAAACAAACTGCACAAAACAGGGTACAACTGCAAACTGGATGGCAAGTCATTCATTGTTCACTCCCAAGCCATTCATTGGAAGTGCTACCTGTTCTGAAGGAAGGCTGAGAGTGGCTCCTCTGCTTTCCTTGTCGCTGGGCTCTGGGCCCCTCGTGTCATCACTGTCCTGCATAGAAAGACGTCACCCTGAGGGGCTGGAAGAGACAATGCTGAGGCCCTCTGCTGCCTGCGTGTGCAGAGTGATTGAGTCTGGATAACGAGGGAAGGTGGTAGAGAAGGATGAATTCTGGGCGTGTCGCCGCCCAGCTTAAAACCATCCCCCTGGCATCCTTAGCATGCCCTGAAGACCTGCATGTGTGGTCCTGCCACTAGTCTGCAGAGCATGTTGTCCTCATGTTCACACGGTTCCTCCACTGCCTGCAGTGCCTGCTCCCACTCTGCCTCCTGCCACCGCCTGCCCGTGGCTCTATACTCACCTCACCCCCTGTACGAGGCTCCAGTCTGGGCCAGAGGTGACCTGTCCCAGCTCCTGCGCTCCCCCGCCTGACCCTCACTGGGTGAGGAGAGACCTCGGGAGATGCCATTCCCTTGGTGTGGCATCTTGAGAACCTCACTATGCCTGGCACATAGTAGACATCGAGTAAATGTTTGTTGAATGAATGTTCAATGACAAGGGAATCAATTGTGAGCTGGATTTTGAAACAAAAGTGGAGCATGTCTAAGCAGAGAAGAGAAGGGACATCATTCCAGTTGAAAGGAAGCAGAGGAGGTTGCATGGAAGTGAGTATGACAGAACCAAGAATGGCAGACACACAGTGCCCTTTGCTCACATTAATAGTGATAATGAACTTATTAATATAATGATAGGCAGAAACTCTTATTTTCCCAACTTACACATGAGGAAATTGAGGTGCCCAGAGACTAAGTGACTCACTTAAGGCTGTGCAGCCTGGAGCTGTGCTCAGTGTGGACCTGGGCACAGAGGAAGGTGACCTGGGACAGGGAAGATGGGCCAGTGTGCACAGCCTGAGAGGTCGGGCAGAGCATACGCGTGGCATGCGGTCTGCGGACGGAGCCACTGCAGGTTCTTATGCAGAAGGCCACTTTGTGAAAATGGTGTCGCAGGCAGATGAGAGTGGCAGAAATCCGCAGAGGAGGGAGTGAGAAGAAGCCGAGGAGAGGGTGACGCCCAGGGAGTGGCCGCGCTGGTGTGGAGCGCTGGAGCCGCCCGGGCGCTGCCGGAGAAGAACCCGGACTCGGCGGCTGTCTTAAAGCCCAAGCAATGGCACAGGGGAGTAGGCTAGGTGTACAAGACAAAAACGTGACATGAGCCAAATGTGATTCCAGGTATAGTCCCCGCACTACACCCTTTAGTGCGTAGTTAGGGTAATGACAAGGGAGAACTGCAAGGTCACCTGAAAGAATGGAGAGTAGCGATGCCATCAGGAGTGAGCATTGCGGAAGATCCAGTCAGGGGCGGGATGCCGTGGTGACTTCGTTACTCGACATGCAGAGTCGGCGGACCCGGTGAATCACAGCAGCGCATGTAGACAGGTCCCAGTGGAGAGAAACTCGAGACGGGTGACCCTAGAGGGTACAGGCAGAGGACACTGAGGGGGTCCCCCAGGGTGAGAGCTCCCAGAGACAGCCTCTGAGGACTGGGGTCGGGTCGGCAGGGCCCCGTCAGAAAGGGCGGGGGAAGGGCTGTAAAGCGGCCGTCTGAGAAGGAGCTGGGGGTGGTCCCTGCAAGGCAAGCGTCAAGAGGAGGCGCGTCACGCGTGTGCCACGCAGCGGGGCAGACCTCAGCGTCAGGTCAGGGGCTCCTGCTGGGGCCGTGGTGCTGGGCTTTAGATTCGGGAGAGAATGTGCACAGTATGTGCACTTTTTAGTGGAGGAGCTTTCATTAACTTCACAGGGTACTCTCCTGCAGAAAGAACAGGAGCCACTGTTAGGGACATTGAGCAGTGAGCAGGAAATGGGGGTCGGTCGGGGACTCTAATCTGACAAGTTGCAAGTTTAGCATTTAACAAAAGCAAAAGCAAGAGATCGGAAGCCGATTCAAGGAAAGTAGCTGATCCAAGTGAAAGTCTCATTAGGACGGGGAAGGTCTCCAAAGGAAGACTCAGGGAGGAAGATCCCGGTTCCTAAGCTGTCTGTTGTGAGTACATGTGGAGTCTCAGCCTTTTATCACTAGAAGAGGCCTTAAAGCTTTTACAGATTTAAAAAAAAAAAAAAAAACAGCCATCTGAGAGGCTAAGTACGTTGCATAAGTGCTCCTGCTCTCGGGGCTTCCTGACGCTTCCGTAACCATGACTTCCGCCAGGGATGCATTCCAGAGAGCAGCGCTCATTATGCCCTAATGCTGAATGCGTCCTAGTCCCGACATCTCCCTACCTGGATGCCTTGGAGGACAAGGACCACATCCTAAATGTCTTCTGTTCCTGCATGCACTACAGCACATATCCAAGCACCAAAGTAGGTTCTTAAGAATAATCTTCGATGGGTTGAAAATGTGGGCTTTGTGATCATTCCATTTGTATCTTGGAAAATAAGGGCGCTCTCAGAGGGAGTCCACTTGGGAGGCACCCAGTGAGTGCAGCCGACAGCGGAGTGTGAGGCTGCTCAGAGCGGCCACAGGGACACTGGGGGGCGGGAGGGTGATGATTTGAACTGGCAGGATCGGCGGGGGTGGGCGCCTTGGTGTTTCCTTAGCCCTGGCTGCGCTGGACAGGAACCTCCACGGCCAGGGGCAGGGCGCGCGGAAATGAACTGGCTCGTCCTTGTGTTAAGTGCCATTCAGCGAGGCTTAACATGGGGTGTTTGTAGCAGAAGACGAAGTGAAAGAACATTCAGAACATTCCCTTTGTCGGCCTCCCTAGCCTGGGAGGAAGCCGCCAGCACAGGGCCTTTGCGACACTCCCCAGAGCGGGCGCTGCCTTTAGCTTTCCAAAGCGCAGGCAGGCCGTGAGGCCAACTGAGCGTTGTGAATAGATGAGAGTGCATGGTGTGACACGCAGGTCATTATTTTGTGAAAGTTGCCTTAGAGATGCGTGTGGTGTGTGCCCTCACTAAGTCACAGGCAGCGAAAGTGTCTTTCTTACTCTGAGTTGTGAAAATATCCTGTACGAGTGTGTAAGTTTTTAAGAGTAGGGACTAAAATATTCTTATATCTTTTTACGTCTTTGTAGCAAAGCCTCTCGTGCAGGGTAGGCGTCTGACGAACGTTTGAGTGAATGAATGAATGAATGGCCAGCTAGATTTACGTGCTCTGTTCCTGCAGGATGTGGGTCTGGGCGCACATGGTGGGCAGGGTGCGACACACTGGGGACACGTGGAGGGCAGGGTGTGACACACTGGGGGCACATGGAGGGCAGGGTGCGACACACTGGGGGCACGTGGAGGGCTGGGTGCAACACACTGGGGGCACGTGGAGGGCAGGGTGTGACACACTGGGGGCACGTGGAGGGCTGGGTGCAACACACTGGGGGCACGTGGAGGGCAGGGTGTGACACACTGGGGGCACGTGGTGGGCTGGGTGCAACACACTGGGGGCACGTGGAGGGCAGGGTGCGACACACTGGGGGCACGTGGAGGGCAGGGTGCGACACACTGGGGGCACGTGGAGGGCAGGGTGCGACACACTGGGGGCACATGGAGGGCTGGGTGCGACACACGGGGGGCACGTGGTGGGCTGGGTGCGACACACTGGGGGCACGTGGAGGGCAGGGTGCGACACACTGGGGGCACGTGGAGGGCAGGGTGCGACACACTGGGGGCACGTGGAGGGCTGGGTGCAACACACGGGGGGCACGTGGTGGGCAGGGTGCGACACACTGGGGGCACGTGGAGGGCAGGGTGCGACACACTGGGCGCACGTGGAGGGCAGGGTGCGACACACTGGGGGCACGTGGAGGGCAGGGTGCGACACACTGGAGGCACGTGGTGGGCAGGCTGTGACACTGTCCGCACGTTGACCGCCACGGTTATCTCAGTTACCCGTGGTGCCATATGAGTACTTTTCTTTCTTATACTCAAAAATGCTTCTTCTAACTCGCCTCCACCAAGTGCTCCCTGAGTGTTCATTAACTTTAAAAGATGGCAGTCACTGTAAAAGTAGTCTTTACACGGGAGGGGGTGTTTTGAAAAATTCAGGGTACTGCCAACTAAGCATAGCGGCCTTATGCAATTGGGCCTTTTTATAAAAGGGCAAATAAACTCTGCCGTTAAAAACGAGACCGCGCTGGAAACACGGTCCCTAGCGGCCTGTTAGCCAGGACAGTGAGGCACACGTCCACGGGCTCAGCAAGACAGAGGCGCCGCCATTTCGAGAGATTTAAGGCAGCGCGGCCGGCGGAAGAACAGGACCCTGCTGGGGCCAGGGAGGATGCCAGGGAAAGTAGGTCGTGGGGGAAGCGAGCGGGTGAAAGGATGGGCTCATCCAAGAGCCGGGCGGTGTCATCCTTCTTAGTCTTCCCAAACTGCTGCCTCATACCTAGAATCAACTCGCTCGGTGTCCTTGCAAAGCAAAGCAGGGATTGCAGCTGCAGGACACCGAGCTCCCGAGGGTGCGGGAAGGCCTGCGTGTCGCGGCCCCGCGTGGGGCGCGTCCCAGAGCCAAGGCCAGGGAACACCCGCGTGGCAGCCCCCATGCCACTTGGCCTCTCCGAGCCAAGGCCAAGGCCTGGGCCACCTGCTGGGCTCCAGCTGGGTGGCGGTTACCTTTGAAAAAATGTCCTCCTCCCACCGCCGTCAGTTCTGTGGGTGGAGGACAGACGGATGATCCTTTCCTCTTCCCCTGAGTTTGCCCCCGTCCGAACAGCTGTCCACGTTTCGTTAATGCTGTGGACTTAAAGGGAAAGAGAAGTGTTCTTCTTTTAAGGGGAGAATGAGAGAGAAGCTTTTTGATATTATTCCAGGGTACATTAAAGCTCACTACTTTACATTTAGAAAATTTGTAGCAAAGTTTTCTATTAAAGCTCAAAATATAATTTAATCTTAGGGGAAATAAATACCAACTAATACTGAATCAGGGCCTTTGGGTATTTTTTAATTCTTGGCCAGAAAAGTCTGCCTCAATAGATTTCATGGAACTTACGGTTTACTTTGGACAAAGAAAGATAGATTAACTTGGATGTGACTCACTTTCCAAAGTGGCAGAATTTCAGGAAGGATAGAAGAGAGGACATGCAGCCGCCCCTGTCCAAGGGGAGCGGGCACACAGCGGCTGGAGGTGCCCATGCAACCGCTCTGGCTGGCAGGGGCCACCACACTCGCGGCAGCTCTGGCCTGTTCTGTTGACGCTTTGGTTTAATGCATTATTTATTCTCATTAAAAAATCCAATTTACCTTTGTCATGGCCATGATTTCTTGGCTAACAATACTGAGGAGGGGGGACATGGTCCTTTTTTCATTTGTTTGCCCAGAAAAGGACAGTTTAACATATGCAAACCTTCAGAGCAACTGGTAACACCATTGCTATGAACAGAAGTTCCTAGAGCAAGTGTCTTAAAGACCCTCTTTCTGGCTAACCCCACAGTCTGCTGCTGACGTGGTTTCCCTGCCGCACCTGGTGATTAAGATGGAACAAAGCATGGGTCTTCAGCTAATTCCTGGTCCCATACTTCTGTAATATTTGCATTTTTTCCCTCCTATGATATTCAGCCCCTCTTCCTATAAAGAACTGGGTCCATTTTGCCCCCCAGAGGCATTTGGCATCATCTGGACACATTTTATTGGGACTGGCGCTAGTCGGTGGGGGCCAGGGAGGCTGATAAATACGCCTCCATACCGCGGGGCAGCCCCCGCAGCAAGGCATTGCCTGGCCCAAAGTGTCAGCAGTGCTGAGGGTGCGACAGCCTGCTCCGGAGCATTTTTCCTGGACTCCGCTTCAGTTCCTTTTGCTGCCACACCCAGCCTGTCACCAGCTCTGAGCTCTGCGCGGAGAGGAGTGTCCAGGCCCGCGGCGCTTCCGGCCAGCCCCCGCCCACCCACTGCCCCAGCATCTCTCCGGCCTCCCCAGCGCCGGGCCTCAGCCGTCAGTGCACACTGGAGTCAGCTGGGAGCTCTAAAAATATGCACCCCGCACTTGGACCCAGTCCAGCTTGATTAATTTGTAATCTCCGTGGCATGAGGCCTAGACTCCAGGCAGTTTAAAAGCTCTGCAGGGGATTCCAGTGTGTGGCCAGGGTGGAGAGCGCGGGCGCCGAGGCCCCTGCTCCTGCCCGGCCCAGGAAGCGCAGACCTGCGCCTGGAGACCACCGGCCCTCCTCCCTTCCCACCGTCCCGTCCGCTCCTCAGCTCGGCCACTGGCTCCTGCCTGCTCACACCTGTCCTGTGCCGTCCTGCTTCGGGCTTGCTCCTGGGAACCTATGCCTAGAAGCTCCTTTCTACCCGGCCACCCAAGATCGCCACCGGTGGGGACGCTGCACACCCACTGTGACCATCTCAGGGATTCTCTGAGTTTCCACCTGGGATGCAGTCACCCTCCCTGGCCACGCCTTCCTCCTCTCTCAGGGTGGCACAGCCGGGGATAAGCTTCCTGTCCTCGCCACTTCCCCTCAGTGGATCCCCCCACTAGTCAGATGTCAGCTCCTGGGAGGTTCAAGCCCAGCCTGCTCACCGGGGCCGCCCTCCCAGCACCCAGCAGGAACCCCCAGATGCCGCCAGTGTTGGGAAATAGGTGGCCAGAGAGCTGAGGTTGGAGAGTGACGAAGCCAGCCCCTCAGTGTACTGGCCCGAGACACTCTGCAGGCCACGCTCCAGCCCCATGGGTGCTGCTGTCCCTGCCCAGCTGCCCTGTCCCTGCAGCTTGATCACAGGCATCCCTTGGCTTTCAGCAGCTCCCTGTTCACCTAGGAAAAGAAAACCATGCTACCACAGCAAGCGGAGTTGGCAACCTTTGCCTGTAAACTTCCAGAGCGCCGGGTTCTCCTGGGAACCGGCTAGTGACACCCAGAGCCCAGGCCAGCAGGAGTGTGCGCACCAGCCCAGGTGACCCTGGGGCTAGGAGGTGGCATTGCACAGCAGCACAATGACTGGTTCAGGAGAGTTTTATGTAATTATTACCATCCCACACTTGGAAGGATGATTGTAAAATGACTCATGCTAAAACATAACCCGCAGCGCCAGAGGTGAATGAAGCAGACACCGACACGCTCATTGCCCCTAAACACAAGATATTCTGCACTCTTCACTTGTGCAGACTAAATATAGCTGTGAGACCCCAGGGGACAGAGCTCTGGAGGGCACACCGGTGTCTGCCCGCGGGTGCGCCCTGTGGGTGCTGGCTGCTCTGCATGTAGCCCGGGATCAGGGCAGCCTGGGGCTCTATGCTGCGCCGCGGGGGGCACGTCCTCTGACTTCTGGAAGGTCGTGGAGGTAGGGAGTGCTCCCAGAGCGCTGCGGAGTTGGGACATGTCAACACAAGACCCTGAGCTCTCGGCTCCTCTTGAGGACCTTCCGAGAGACTGGGCAGAGGAGAAGGGCCGTGCACACAAGAGGCAGAGAGTCAAAAAGAAAGAAATGGAAAGACAGTTGCCCTACAAACATCACCCCCAAGATCACACTTGCGGTTGCGTTCCAGCCTGCCTCTCACCCACGCTGCGACAGTGCCAGAGCTGGCCAGAACCAGCCAGAACCCAGTTGTCAGTTCTGTTGCTGGGAGTCTACACTGCATCGTGTTTGTTCAGCCAGCTCCCCAAAAGTGTGTGTGGGGTGCAGTTAGTGGCTTCCTGAGCTGATAGCCAGATCTTGGCCTGAGCTCTCTCTTATTGAAAGGAATTCGGGTGTGTTGGGATGGAGAGGGAGGGAGGGGTGGGAGATAAAAAGTTACACTGAAGAGACTCATTCTCCAGGACTCGAGGTTTGAGGCTAGAAAACCTAAGTTCCAGCACCATCTCCACTACTTACCGGCCGTGTGCAGCCTTGGTCAAGTTATTAAGACTCTTTGGGCTCCAGCTGCATCGTTATTTCTGTGGGAATTCAGCTCAGTGTAGGTGCGTGGAGTTCCCGTGGGCTGCCGGGACCGTGTTGGGATCCAGCGGACGCAGTGGGCAGCAAGAGGGGACCTTGCCGCCGGGCCTGCCTGGAAGCGAGTGGGCAGGCCCTCACTCGAGAGCCACTGTGATGACTGCCCCTCAAGGCTAGCACCCGCCCTCACTGGCTCTGCAGGGTGGTGGGAGAGTCAGAGACAGGAAGCTTCCAGAATGCCAGAGCTCCACGGAGGTGGAAGCTGTCATTGTCATCATCATGACCGCAGCCCCACGTAGGTCAGCCTGGTAATAAGAGGACAGAGGAGATGCTGGGCCTGGCTGATTTCTGAGCTGACAAATGCTAATGTGACTTGATAGCTATGATTTAAATGCCAGCTGCTTGAGGGATTTGAAGTATATTTTACTCAAACGTTGCATTACTACAACCCCAAAATTATTTCAGGCGCGTGTTTTAATAATTTCACTTTGTGCTGTAGGTGGCTGAGTTTGTACAGTCTCTTCTGGGCTGTGACGAGCATGCCAAGTGCTTTAAGAAAGAGGTAAGAAATGTGAAAATTATATATACTTTTATACTTCTAAACCCAGAAGTGCTTTTTTTCCATCTACCAAAGTGTAAATAGGAGCAGTTTGGGGAGGCAGGAGAACGGGGCCCAGCAATGCAGGGGGGACAGGCAGGGTCCTCTTATATTTAGCTGTGCTTTGTCACCAAAGGCCATGGCACTTGGCTGGCACCAGTAAATATGCTATTTGGTGAAAGGGAACATGAAAAAGATAATTAATCGATACCTGTGGGTGTCATGAAGCCTCTGGATTGGTGGCTTTTAGCCACACTGGGACAAGGGAGGAATCCCCCCCACTTGGGACTCCACCAGGGAAGTAGCGGGGACTTGTCTACTCCTAAGTGAGGACGGGGCTGTCCTGGCTATCCCTGCTTGCACCTGCATCCAGAGTGACACAGAGAAGCCCCCAAATCCTTCTGTGGGGTTTCTGCTTCCCACCTGGGAATGTACTGAACTGCTTAACTCATTTTCTGGAATTAGTATCCATAGCCACAGGGCCCCAGGAGACTGGACCAGCTACAGAATAACGATGCAGACAGCAAAGCTAGCGATTGCCATGTGCCAGGCGCTGCGCTAGGCATCTGGCAGCCATTGTCCTTTGGTCCTCACAACTGTGCAATGGCAGCTGGTTACCCGTGAAGAGGCCACAGCTCAGGAAGCTGGTAGGCAGAGCAAGAAAAGGGCAAATCGGATTCTAGCCCTTATCCATCCGAATCCGGAGTCTCAGTCCTTGCTCTAGAACTCTCCAAGAAAACTGCTGTCCTAGACACTCAGGAAAGCAGCACAGGCCTCCCCCTCTGTCGGTCGGAGCATGCGTGGTTCAGGGGCCGTACTTGTGGAGTTTGGGTCCTGGGCCTCTCCAGGCGCAGCAGGGAGCTGAGCACCGGGGGCAGATGGCACCAGCTTGGGCAGCTGCCAGTGGAGGCGTGAGCTTCTCCTGGTTCCACCTGAGCTCAGCACTGCCTGGGCACGGTCGGCCCAGCCTCGCAGGACAGTCGGTCCTCGACATCTAGCGACAGCCAAGAGCCACCTTGACAGTGAGTCCCTGCGTGGTGAGGGGAAGGAGTGGCTCTTCGCAGGTCCAAGTGCTCACACTCGACTCTCACCAGCACTGTCACCTCTGGCAGATCCCTGAACCTCTCCTGTTCCTCCCCTCTAAAACACAGACTTGCATGAGGGACCCTTAACGCTTAGGACGAGTGTGTTTCAAGTACGGGGCCCAGCTCTGGTCCCAGGGTGGGGGCTTAATAAGGGCAGCAATGTGCAGCGGAGGGTCTCCTCTAGGGTCCAGCGAGCTTTATCTGAAATCCCAACTTTGCTTCTTAGGAGCTGTGTGACCTTGGGCTAGTCAGTAGCCTGTAATTCCAGCTTTCTTCATCCACCTTAAGGGGTTGTTGGGAGGATCAAACACAGACAATAGATTATCTCAGGTCCGTAAATGTTAGCTGTTACCGTCATCACCACCATTACCACATTCTTAGGATAACTGGCTGTTTGGACAATTTTTGCCTGAAAATGCTGGAGTTGAGCCCAGGTGAGGGTATGGAAATAGGCATATTCTCTCTCCTCTGCCTTGGGGCATGTGTTCTTTGTCCCGTGGGAACTGTGTTCCCTTCTCTAGATGGATGATTCTTTATCAGATGAGATATCACAAATGCACAGGAAGCTTTACGAAACTTTTTGAACGATAAAACTTTAAAACTTCACTCCAGGGGTCCAAGGATAATCCTATCAGTAGGACATTGACACCCAGGGCTTGTATTATTAAGTTTTCAAAGGTTTGAGCCATGCTATCAAGTTCCTAGAATGGTGTTCCTGTAGAAAACCCTTCCTTACCTGTCTTCTCGGTGCCGGAGCCAGAAGTCACCTGAGCCAGGCTGTCTGGGGCAGGTGCGGGGCGCTCCTGCATCCCGGGGGTCAAGCTCTGAGGTCACTGGGGTCCCTGGACCTGTGGAAAACAGCCTGCACAGTGGCTGTTTGCCATCATGTGCGTCTCAGGAGAGCTGTCACATTTCAGACCACGGTATTTTTTTAAATTTAAACAATTTAATTGTCAGATAAAAGTTGAATATATTCAAAGTGCGTAATGTGATGATTTGAGTGTCCTGATCACAATCATATTATTTAACATATCCGCCCACGCCAACTTGTTCATCTGGGGCCAGGAATCATTCTGAGCCCATTTTAAAGTATGTTTTAGAAGTTAATATGTAAGACATTTATTTTTTATGTGTGTTTGCTCATAATGGCATTTATTATAGAGAAAACATTTTAAATACAGGAAAGTTAAAAGAGAAAATAAAAACCAACCACTGTTCTACCAACCAAAGATAATTTCCATTAACATTTGGTGTAAAGACTTCAAATATTTTAAATATGTATGCTTCTATATGCAGTTATGCATATTAAATTTTACAAATTAAAACTGAGATCATCATATCATGTTTTGTTGCTTAATGATTTATGAAAGGTTTCCCAAATCATAAAATGTTTCACTGAGACATGAATTTTAGTGACTGCAGGGGCTTATCCTGTGACTATACCATAATTCATTTCTCTATTATTCAACACTGGGTTGTTTTCCGTATTTCACTACTCTCTGTGATACTAGAGTATACACATTGCCCACTATTCTCTTGAGAAAAATTCATGGAGACTTAGTTGATGATGTTTTTAAGACTCTTGATACAAATTCAGGCCAAGATTTTTAAAACATAACAACAGAAACTTAGCCTGAGAATAGTTAATGTATATTGAATTCATATTTATCAGAATAAGCACCTTCTTCATTTAACTTAACTTCAAAGTGCTGGAAGGGAAAAATGGAGTTGAGGATGTCGGGGCTAAGCCGTGTGAGGGACACCTTCCTCCTCTCTTGCTACTGAGCTCAGTGTCACACTCAGCTCCCAGGAGTTGCTGATAGATAAACAAGCTTTATTAGCAGAATATTTTTATTTGTTTTTATTTATTTGCAGCAGATCGATGGCAAAGCCTTCCTGCTCCTGACACAGACAGACATTGTCAAAGTAATGAAGATCAAACTGGGTCCAGCACTGAAGATTTATAATTCTATCCTGATGTTCAGGAATTCCCAGGACCTCACTGAAGAGGACATCATCTCAGACCAGGAAGTCAGGGGCTAAGTTCACTCCCCGAAAGCCCACTGGCGCCAGGACCTGCGCTGTCTCAGCAATAAGTTGGAGCACATTGATTTGATTTTAATGTCCTCATGGTCATATCCACATTTAATCTGGACCTTTTAAATTGTCTGTGATTTATACGTTTAGAGGATCTTGACGACTGATCAAGTGCCAGCGACTGAGAGACTTAGGCACGTGTTCCGGGTTGGGCTTGGGTTTATAAACATCGTTATTTTGGGTGGGATGCTTTCAGCTCTGATGTGCTTGCACCAGACAGACCAAAGAAACCCACACGTGCACCTTTGTTCTTTTCCCTCACTATAACAGAAACCATTTTCCATCTTACAAGCGTAAGACTCTCGAGTGGTAAAATATTAGAAAGACAGTATTCACAAATACACTGTTAACATTTTCACCAGGACAACGTTGGCTCAGATCTGCCATCTGGGCGCGGTGAGTCTAAGAGTTAGAGCCTTGGTGCTTTAAAAAGACTTCATGTGAGATTTTAGTGTACTTTACTCAGGAAAGTGTGAATCTTAAAATAATAATAATAATAAGCACATGTTTTCATGATTCATAATTCTCCTTTTTGTTCCATTAACCATTTCTCAGTTGTGCTCCCAAGGCTCCCTAGAGCCTAGGAGAAGGAGTGTGCCCAGGAGTGGGAGGGGACACAGGAGGCACTCCCAAAAGCTGGCGAGACCCTCCACCAGCAGCAAGGCCTCGGGGGACTCTGCACCAACGTTGGCCTTGGCTGGTGGGCCAGACACCCACCTGCACAGAAATCTCCCCCAGTCCCACTCGCAAGGGATTTCGGGAGAACGGACCGATTTCTCCTGTGCTCTGTCCGAATCTGTGTGATGAGGAGCTGGGCTACCTCTGGGGCCTTGTGTGCGTCGATACTAACAGAGACCCGCCATCAAAAGGGGAGGTCTCTAAAGTAAGGAGCTTGGTATCTGATCTTTGTTTGAAAAATTCTGATTTGTTGTCAGACTTTATCTGTTTTTTATAAGTGATTCTATCTTAAGTTGTGTAGAGTCAGTCCAACAGTTTTGCAAGGCAAGTACCTCTCTTCTTACACCTCTTACTGCTGTTACACTTGGAAACAGCTACAAATGCCCTCATGGAGGTGGAGATCCACCATTTGGGGTAGGGAAAGAAAGGGAAGAGATACAAAAAGAGACTCAGACCGGACTATACCCACTTCCTTCATGATGAATGTTATGGTTTGATTCTGCCTAGAGAATTTCTCAAACTTTAGGTCACTGAAGAAACAAAAATCTTCTCCAAGAGGTGTGCATATGTTACATCCTTACCTACATGGAATTTTAATATATTATTGGTTGTTGTAAATTTTGTTTCTATGGAGTTTTGTTTGTTGTTTTATTTAGCTTTTTGTAGACTGCCATGTGCAATTAAAATCCCTGCCTCTGCTATGTTAAAATTTTAATATATTTTAAATGATAATAAACAGATAAAAAAAAAACCTATACCTCACTACTTTAATGAATATGTTGTTATAATCTGTGCCCACACCACAACCTGGAGTCTGTTTTTTCTCAGCTGCAGAAACAAGGGCAACTTTACCTGCATTAGCCGGCAAAGAAGTCAGGTGTTTTTGAGTACCATGTTCCTTGGAATGTATTTTCTCAGGGAAGTAGGTTTAGGTGTTAATAATTTGAGAGATTAAATTAGAGGTTTTTTAATTAATAAGAATCTCAAAACTGTCGATTATATATCCTCCAGGGAAGACCTGAGATTTGTGCTTGAGTACTTAATGCATGTAATTTCAGCAGAAGGACCTAGAACAGGATGGATAATACCAAGCCAAAATGGAGTTGAACCGTTGTGTTCCTAGGGGACAGTGCAGTCAGAAAGAGATCTCTCCAGGTGTCCAGCTACCTGCTAGACACCCCCACTTTGTCACCCATGTAGCTTGACCTTTTATGTAAATCAGAATAGGTAACATATACATATATGTTTTCATTACATTATTTTTAAATGTTCACAATTTTATTTTGATAAATGAAAAATTAGAAAAGTCATATCAAGGCTGTCGGCTAACGTCAACGCTCGGCTCATCTGTGGCTATCGACTATAGTTGACGCTTGTACCGAAGTACACAAGTTTCTAGATTATTAGAAAGAGTTCCCCCAAAGGACCATTAACACAAGACACAATCCTAAGTACACACCATGATGCTGGAAATTAGATCATTAGCAAGAATCCTAAGGGAGCTTAGAACTTCTGAGACCAGAGTCTTTGAATGCCTGTAATTTAAGATAACTTGCAAAAATAAATTTCTCTCACTTCCAACAGCCCTAGGACATTCCAAAAAAAAAAAAAACAAAAACTATCATTAACAATCTCTGAACACTCTTTTCTCTCTCTGTGGTTAGAAATCTTGACCTCATAGACCCCACGTTCTAAAGAGTTTCCAAGAGTGACAACGCAAGTGATTGGCTCCCTGTTAACACAGGACTCCACGTCACGACATCCTTCCCTTGCTGAGAGCTGACTGTCAAACATACCTGGGATTTCATGGATGAGTCATTGTGTCTATAGAATCCCCCCCTTTTGAGTAAGGGTTGGAGGCACAAATAGCAGTGGAAAGTACTCGGCTTTGGAGGGAAGCCCAGGGTTGAGCACCAAGCCCTGTGCCTGGCCCGTTGCAGGATCTGGAAGCGTTTCTTAACTACCTGTCAAGTGGCTGACTTGCCACAGTTACTCATTTCTTTGGGAATGTTGAGTTTTGCTTCCTCTCATTTGTCTCTGGAATTCCTAGGGCTGAAGACTATGTGCTTGAATATGAAAGGTTCCGGTGAATATATTCTTAATATTTGAGAATATGTTCTTCATGAATATTTTCCCTTATAAATATATTCCTCTTAAAAACTTATTCTTATAAATATATTCATGAAGAATATAATTGTTAATAGATTTTTGAATATTCAGAATCTTTATAAATATGTTCTTCCTAGGAATAAATATATTAATGAGTAATATATTCATAAGACATCTTCTTCAAAAATACATTCTTGCTATGCTCTCCGTCTCTGTCTCTCTCTGCCCATCCCACTCCAGCTGCAGCAGGAGGCTGGGCCGGCCGGACTTGATAGTTACACTGATCCTATGAAGACAAACGACATCCAGTCAACTCAAACTCTAGTTAAAGAGTCAATCTGCAAACTGAGCCATTTGGTGACCTGGTGACCAGCAAAGTGATTTCTCAGTGAATCGGCTCCGAGTCTCTGCACCCTGGATCCCTTTCAGGCAGATGCTGATTTTGAATCCAGTAACCAATAAGACGCACCCCAGCTGCCACTGCCAGACGCAGGCTGGGACGTGCAGGGACGTCCACAGGGCGGCCAGGCAGCTGCGATGGCTCCGCTCTCCAGTGATGACAGCAGAGGACTGCGGCACGTGGCCAGCAAGCATGTCCCTCCTTTCTTGCCCCTCCCTCGGGGACCACGGTTGCAGAGGGGCAAATGCGCAGATGTCCCAGGCACTGTTTGTAGTCACACAGGAATGACAGAGAAATGGAGACAGGTCAGAGGGAACGTAGGGTGCTGAAGTTTAAGAACAACCATTAAACAGGAAATGGAGAAATGAGACTTTGCATTGAAAATATTGAGAGTTAGTTTATTTTTCTCCAAATAGTTTTATTTCATGGGATCAGACTAGGTCTTCTGTGCTATGTTTTGCCCATAAGGCAACACCCATCAATTTCCCGTTTGCTTAGTTTGAAATTAGACTGTGTTCCCTTCGATTTGGGAATCGAGGCACCGAAGCAAATTGATGCATGAAGAACACAAAGTGCTGAGAAATCCCAGGTTAAACCCAGATGTTCCCACGATGGGTTGCACTGCAGCTAAGAGCGGCTGTATTAAATACGCGTGGGGATTGCTTGTAAGTACACACATCTGTTGTTGCACTGTGAAACGCTGGGTCTAAAAGGTCTTTCAGAAGGAAAAAAATATCAAGAACTAGTGCTAACATGAGCTCGATTTTATTTTTAAAAAAAAAAAGGAAAATAAAAGTATTTTTACAGGCTCTCGACCGGAAGACGCAGGAATGCCTCCGTCAGCTGGCTGTGGGAATGGCGGGGCGTGTGGCGTGTGGCCTCCGCGCAGACAGTTGCTTCTCTGTAAATTGGCCCGGGATTGGAGGTTAGGAGCGGCTCTGACAGTTTGCTTCAGAAAGCAGTGGAGGTTTGGTGGTTTTATTTTTTCCAAGAAGTAGCAATTCGGATTTCATTTGGTCTGTCCTCTCCAACAAAAAGAGTCAATAAGCCAGTCAAAAATCAGTTTATTACAGGAAAACTTATCAGATGGGTTACTTGGTGTTGGTAACTGAATTTTTTTCCTTTTCATTTTTCAACCAATTTGCAAAGTGAACAGCCAGCTTTCCTTTTTTTCAGCTTTGTCTTTCACAAGCACACACTGTCGGTTTGAAACCTGAGGTTGTCCTTCCTGGACCCTCCAAAAGATTTATTTACCTCCATGCCTTTGAGGCTGGGAAAGTTAACTTTAAGAGTAGACGGATAAATATCACAGATACATATCCATATAGACTCTAAAATTTTCCTTAAATGAATGAGCAAATTCACCTGCACAGATGTCCCTGTCTGTCCATTGTGGAAATTATTAAATCCATGTATTAGAGAGATACTTACAGAGAGTCCACTATGTGCCAGGCTGTGTCAGCATTTGGGATGCATCTCTGGACAAAAAATAAAAATAAAAATTCCTCCTTTCATGAAGCTAAAATGTAAGTGGGTAGAGATAAACAAATAATAAGCGTAATATTGAAGCTAAATAGAGAAAGAATAAAGAGAGGAAAGTCTCATGATGGAGATACAGCCTTGCTGGCCCACAGGTGGCAGACAAGATGGTCAGCTGGTAGAGTTGGGTGGAGACCCCTGGCATTTCGGTACTTGAGTCATACGACATGTACTTACACACACCTGGGTGTGCTGTAATTCTTTTGGGGTTTTTGTTCATGCTTTGCCATTGTAAACTGTGGAGATGTTCATACCTAGAACAGTCCTCTACAAAGAGGTACCTGTCATTACATATTGCTAATTAAGTGGCTCAAGAGTGTGTATTTTAAGTACCAGTTTAGTGTTAGCAATTAAGTAGCCTGTTACCTGGAAGTTTCTAGACCTTTTCCCCCCTGGATTATAAGTAGCAATTAGCTAGAAGTAATCAGATATACTTCTAATGTGATTAACTAAAATTATCATCAGGCAGGTAATTTTAAATACTGCCATGCTTTAAATACAGACTCATTAATTTTAGCTCAGTGGTGTTCTAATATTTATTATGCATACATAAGAATTTTAAATACGAATATGTTTTCACACAGCTATGCTTTGTAATCCTGCCACCCCCTAAAAATTATCCAGCTAACAAGTTTGATTCTCACAGCCCTCCAGGAGGGTAGCTAAAGGTTAATAATGTGTTTTGAGAGCTGGTATGGCATCAAACTAAAAAGGATAACATCTTGATGATGTCTGGTCAGAAGGTGAGCAAACCTGATGTAAGTCAACACGAAGAACCTACACTAGGTCTTGCATTACAACTGTTGTCAATGCCCCCACAGGCACTTTTTTCAAATTAGTCATTTTGGTGCATGTTAACTTGAGAATTGCTTAGCTTTAAAGGATGCACAATTTTAGCAAAAGCAATTTTATTTATTTATTTTGCTCTAGGCAAGTCTTCTTAAATGGAAAAGTCTGTAAGTTATAACAGTTTGTCAAGATCTGAGCTTGGAACAAGCTGCTATTCACAATCTTTTGGAAAAAGACCAATTTTTCATTGCTAGGTAGTTTGAAACTTAAGAAATCATTTGGAACTTGTGACTACTTTTAACAGAGTTGGGTTGACAGAAACTTAATTTCACAATTCAGTCTACATTATGTGCAGACAATTGGAATGTCTGCCTCCAGGAGGAAACAATAAAGAAATAAAGGGCTTGCTGATTTAGAAACCTTAAGATCTAAGTTATGCGCTCCATTTTGTACTGGTTTTAACCTGGTAAAAAGCATTTGTTCCCACAAATCCATTTTTCCCTTTCTCTATAGACAATGAATCATTATGCACATCCTCCTCAGAAGCTATGTCATAGTTTTCTCAACCCTGATGAAGACCTGAACATAAACTAATAGATGAATAGAAGGTGACTTGAATACTTGGGTTATATGAGTACACTCATCTTCACCATTCCATTCCCGAAAAAACCCCTGGAAAAGCAATTATACAATCTCCTCCAGGGACTTATTCAATGCAGTCCCTTGAAGAGAAAGATTATGTCTTGTGAAGTTTTTGCCCCATTTCATAATTAGCAACTGTATGGTGCTGGTGAATCAGAGAAAGAGGGAAAGAAAGGAAGGAAGGAAAGAAGGGAGCAAAGATGGGGGGAAGGGAGGAAGGGAGGAAGGAAGGACTTTTTCAAATCCAGCTTTAATCCTTCAAACTTCTGCTTAACCTATAAAACCACTGGTCTCTCCTGTTCCTCTAGAATCATCTTTTATATATTTTTGAAGACCCCAATGAAATGATCTTTCAGTCTTCTTTTTCTGGACTAAATCCTCTTTCTTTTAGTCTGTTTATTTAGGTTTTTAGCTCTGAAATTTTCAAGTTGCCTCTACTAATACTTTTACTTTTTTCCCCTGATCTTGGTCCTTCACCCTCACTGCCGTACGCCCCGTTTGGAAGCCCGGCCTTATCTGTGAACGGTCCTGCAGAAGCCAGCTTTTGTCACTCTGACCTGTCTTGTTTCTACTAAAATTAAGGGTACCACAGATATTTTCACTCTAGGTCCATGTCAATGCTCGCAAAAGTGTAATCTGTGGGACACAAGGTGGGAACAGCCCAGAAAGCCATTGAGCCATTCAGTTGTGACTCACCAGGGTGAACATGCTAAGCTTGCTAATGCTCAAACACAACGCCCAGAGACCATTATTTTGTTAATGGTTTGTGCAGTGTCACACAAACAAGCCCCTAATGAAGAGGCTTTAGGCATATTAGAATCCAGTTTTTAGGCTTGCAGCTATCACCCTAGCAGTTGTATTGTATTCCCTACGCTTGATGTCCCATGTGTCTAGCTATTTGGTTTGAAAAATTTTCCATTGAACCCATTCCATTTTTTCCCACCCCATCTGAATTTCTTTCTCACTTATACTTAGTATCTCATGGTTTAAGCAACCCTGACATTTTTGTATATTTCCTTCAGCACCTTGCCCAAAGCTGAGAATATAGGAACTCAGCAAGTAAATTGCTCACTTATGTAAAGCTGGTTATGTAGAGAATTAAAATGGTTTTTTGAAGTCCTCACTTTCAGTCTGGGAACTGTCAATGAAAGAACTTGCTCTGAATAAAGCTAACCCATATCAGCCTAATTCTTTCTGGTTCTGTCTTTATCGAGTATCTTCTATCATGGCCAGGCCCCCAGGCCAATGTGATCTGTGATAATGCAGATGCAACCAGAATCTGCATGGCCTAACCCAAGCCAAGCAGAGTCCTCACCTGAGCGAATATATTAGCAAGGAAGAAAGGCCTGCTTTGGTTGTGACACTGGACGTAGGATGTCTGTCCAAGTACCCTTGGTTTATTCTACCGAGAGTAATTGTTTAATTAGAAGCTTGGGGCTAGGTGAGAAGAAGAAAAACTAGTTTATAAAAATAACTCTAGGGAAAACTAGGCAAAGCATAGCTTATAATTAATTTAATCATTCATTTGCTCATCAAACATTTACTGACCATTTAGTTACATCAGGCATTATGCTCGTCATATAAGCACAAGTAATTACATATGGAATTTTTCATCTTTGAATATGTGATGAATGAGTGTTTAAATGACCAAATGAACGAACAGAAATCAGCATTACGATATCATTTTCAAACTGTGAAAAGTCTTTAATAGTTCACACAAATTGTGATAAAGTGTTTCAGAAGGTTGGAAATGTTTGAATCACATAGGCAGCGGCTTTCCAGTGTTCCCACAGAAGGATGTCTTAGATCACAACCCTGTACACACACACACACACACACACACACACACACACACACCCCACAGCGTCTGGGCAGTTGTATTGTTTTGGGTTTTGTTTCTTGGTTTTTTCAAATGCTGATCACAACCCATTAAGTTGTTTTCATGGCCAATGGGTTGTGACAAAAAGTGAGAAGAGCTCTGCCATGGGTCACTTGGCGGCAGTGGCTCTCAGCCCCCGGCTGTACATCAGGATGACCCAGAGCTTCTTAAGAATGCTGATGCCTGGGCCCTAACCCAGACAACCGAACCAGAACCTGCAGCTGCCCACTGAGATGTGGTTTTTAAAGCTCCCAACCATTCCAACGAGCAGTGAGGGCTACGAATCACTACGCTACGTGATGGAAATGTTCTCTCCCAATAATTTAAGTGAAACAAGCCAGACATAGAAAGTCAAATTTTGCATGCTCTCACTCATAAGCGGGTGCTAAAAAATGTGTACCCTTAGACACAGAGAGTGGAATGACAGACAATGGAGACTCAGAGGGAGAGGGAGTGGGAAGGGGTGGATGATGAGAAATTGCTTAATGGGTGCAAGGTACATTATTCAGGTGATGGATATGCTGAAGTCCTGACTTCACCACTGCACAATCTATGCATGAAACCAAATTTCACTTATACCTCATACATTTGTATAAAGAAAAAACAACAATAAAATAAACAACTACCACTTTTAATCATATAAGTAATACGTATACCTACTGAAACATTCAAATAATGTACGTGGTTATAAAAGGTAAATCTCCAGCTCAATCCCTTACCCCTCACTTCCACCGCCAAGAGGTCAATGTGATAAACAGCTTCTTGCACATCTTCCCCAAAACTGTGTGGTATGTATGGGAATCTATAGAGTTTCCCCAAGTTTACGTTTCCAGGTAACTTTAATATGTTGTCAAGTTATAAAAGTATCTGTTGGTATTTTGATGAGGATCATATTGGATTTATGGATTAATGTGGGATAAACTGATGTGTTTACAGTATTGAAATCTCCCTATTCAAGAATATTATAGTTCTTTCTATTTATTCATTTTAATTTTTTTATGTCCTTAACGTATTACATGTTTTTAAAAAATAGGTTCTATATGTTCTGTACTAAATTTGTATTTAAGTGTTTTATCTTTTTTATGCTATTATTAATGGGATAAATTGTTCCACTATATTTTATAGCAAAATACTATTTGCTTATTGAAATGCTACTGAATGTGGATGCTAATTTTGAAACCAGTCCACCTAACTGACTTATTTCTGTTCCTAATAGAATTCTTCCAGTTAACTCTTTTGTGCTTTCTAGGTAAATAACTACATTATCTGAAAGTAATAATAATTTTGTCTCCTCAGTTAAAGTATTGACATCTCATTTTTTCTCCTATCTAATTGCATTGACTAGTGCTTTCAGAACAATGAGTTTAAATTGGAGATGTTTATGGAAAGTAACATCTATTATACAAATGACTTACAGCTAGAACTATGTACATCATACAGACAGGCACGTTAAGGCTGAGAAAAAATACAGAAAACCTGGTAAAATCACTTCTGATAATTTTCCTCAATCGTTCTTTTTTTCTTCATGACAGATTTGCTCACAATTTTTTTACTATCCTTGTCAGGTTTTGTTTCAGTGTTTTGTAGCTTCATAAAAATGTTTTAGTAGCTGTTATCCTTTTT